GGGACCCAAGGCTGTGGGGGGCTGGAAGTGGCATGGAGGTGGGAAGGGGGGTGGGGGCCTGAGAGTTCAGGGGGAAAAGTGAGGTTGGAGAAGGGAAGGGGCGTCAGGGACCCAATGCTGTGGGGGGCAATAAGCAGCACAGAGGGGACAAAGGGGTGGAGGCCTAAGGCTTTGAGGGGCAGGCACAAGGGGGGTAAGTTGGGGGGAGGGGACAAATGGCAGGAGGCAAATGGCCTGCTTCCCCACAGCCTAACCTCTTACTTCAGTGGTCTCCAACCTTTTTAAGTCAGAGATCACTTTCTGAATTAAAAAGCAACCCAAGATCCACTGTGTGCCGCCATCCCGCCTCCCCCCTCTCCCACCCTGGAGGTCAGTCTATGGGGAGGGAAGGAAGGGTCAGTTCAAGGCAAAGGGAGAAAAAATTATTGGGCGCACACACCCCCAGCAGGTAAGTCTGTGGGGAAGGGGCAAGGGGAGGGGAAAGGGTTGTGGGGGTAGGTGCAGATTGAGGCCCCAGCCATGAGGAAGGGAGCCGGTCATAGGCAGGAGCAGGGTCTCCAGTGAGTGTAGCCCTGGCCAGGCTGGGTGGTGGGACAAGCGGAGGCCCGGGGAGCATGTGCCCCTCAGGCCTCTACTTGTCCTCTACTCCCCCCAGCCCCAACTCCTGCCTGTGCCCCATCCCTCCCTCACTACTGGGGCCTCGATCTGCTCCCACCCCATGGTGGTGAGAGAGGGAGTGTGGTTGGATCAGGGGCAGGTCCTGCACAGGTGGGTCACAGAACAGAGCCATGAGAGGTTTGTCTGGGGGGCATGGGGAGGGGGGGCATGCAGCCCAGGAGGGCATGAGGGGCACATATCCCTGGATCTGCACACCAGCCAGGCCAGCTGCTGCTGTGTGCCGGATAATAGACACCACTGCGAAGCACCGCTGCTGTCCCAATGCTGCTTTATTGCTTTGAGCTGCTGGTCCTGAGCTGGGGGCAGCCTGTGTCAGCCACGCGGCGCCGGGGATGGAAGCAGGACTGGAGCAGGGCAGCTGCCCAGGAGTGGCAGCTCAGGCTGGGCAGTGACACTCCCAGGCAGCTGCCACACTCCAGTCCTCCCTCCGTCCCTGGAGCTGTGTGGTTGACACAGGCTGCCCCCAGTTCGGGACGGGCAGCTTAGAGCAATAAAGCTGCAGTGGAAGAGTGGTGGTGCTCAGTAATGGTGTCTTTTGTCCAGCACGCAGGGCAGCCAGGGCCTGTGGCACAAACAGGCCCTGGCTTGTGGTAAAGCTTTGGCGAGCCCCCCGGAAAGAGCCTGGTGCCACCCTGGCCACAGCCTGCAGCAGCTGCTGAACTGGCCAGCATGCAGCTCCGGGGACACCATCCCTATTCCCTCCCACGCTGCATGCCCACCCATGCCCTGCCCATGCAGGGCCTGCCCCTGCTCCAGCTACACTCCCTCTCTCACTGCTGCTGCAGCTATCCATGCTGCCCGGAGTTTGGGGGGGGGGGGGCCCATCCCCCCCCCCCCAATCTGTGTGCGGCAGAGGTGGCTGCAGTGGCTGGGCTTTGCATCCCAAGCCCTGCTGCAGCTGGCCCAGGAGTGGCTTGATGCTATGTACCTCCTGCTGATGGGCTGAGCCTCATCCCCTGCCTGCCTAGCAGTGGGACACACATGGTATTGGGCCACTCCTGGGCCAGCTGCAGTGGGGCTCTGGGCACAAAGCCCAGGCCACAGCAGCATCCGTCTTGCCCCACACAGATTGGGGATACATGCCTCCTGGGGCCCCCACCAGGGTGCGTGCAGTGGTGGAAGCCCCCATTCGTGCCTGGAGAAGCCACCTGGGCTCTGACCCTCACTCGGCCCATCTGGCTGGGGCCCCACTCACTTGGTGGCAGGGGGCGTGGCTTATCCTAACCAGGTGTGTCCTGCCGCTCATATGTCCCACTGCTCCCAATCGCAGTGCCTCTGACAGTTGACCTCAGTCCGGTGGGGGCTAGCACCCCCCAGACTGAAATCAACTGTCAGGGGCTCCCCGATCAACTGGTAGATCGTGATCCACCAGTTGGTGACCAGTCTTACTGCCCGCCCCCCACTACTTGCTCTACGGTATACCATCCCCACTACCTGCTCCATTACTGCCCCCCCCAATCTGTCCACCAGCACTGCCTGCAATGGTGCAGGGGACAGATTTAAGATGAGCCTCCAATAATTAGATTCTATACATGGAAAATTACAACAAATGCATAAATTTTCCATGAATAGAATGTAATTATTGAGGGTTGTCATAAATTCAGCGTTGTCTTATATTCAAGGAAATACAGTGAACGATTCCTAGTACAATTAAAATACTAAAAATCTGAGTATAGGACGCGACAGAAAAGAAGCTTATTGAGGCAAGAATTGCATGCTCTTTATATTATTTATGATTGTGACATGGTATTTTATAGAAAGAAAATTGCTCTGTTTTTTTGTTCATTTTATGCTTGCATCATCTTAACATTTTGAAAGCAGCTATCATAGGATAAATAGCGAAAATAAAAGTTACAGACCTTAACAGCTGATCCTCAAGGCCAGATCTGGTTACAGTGAAATTGATTATAGTGACCTTGATGCACACCTGTAGAATGAACACAGTCAATGACTAAACATTACATCTGTGTAGGTTAATACAAGAGAATCAGGGGATTTGCTATGAATAAGAGTGCAACCCAAAGTGAAGATATGGTCTACCTGAGAAAGCATTCCCCATCAAAACTCTAATTTGCAGTTGTTAAAAAAACTTCCCATTCAGGCTGAAAGTTCATATGGGTGGGCTCTATCCAAAAATAATTTATTGCCAAAGTTTGAGGAAACTTCTGAAGTTTTATATTTATATGTTTAGGTTTTATCATCTAGATCCTATGCATAGTATAATAAGCAATTATTTGAGCCAAAGGGACACATAGAGAGTTTTGGTGAGCAAACATGCGCTGGATCACCCTAACCCTACCCCCCGCCCCAAATTCCTTAAGTGGTACTGCTCTGTGCTAGGCTGGGCAGCTTGGATGAAGCCGTTGGCAGGTGGAGAGCAGGATCCAGGGCAGGACAGGCAGATGGGGCCAGGATCACAAGGCAGTAACAGCACAGGACCAGGGCTGGGGCAGAGCCATGATTCACAGCTTCCATGCCCCTGCAACGGGTGCTACTTCTGCAGGCAGAGGCATGAGGGGAGTGGATCACAACTCTGCCCTGGGCCCTGGCCCTCCACTGTCACCACCCAGAGATCCCAGGGTCATGGAGACTGGTGGGTACAGAAACGGCAGTGTGTGGCCAAGAGGATGGGATAGGGCTCTGGGCAAATGGGAAGCTGCATCCAGGAGCAAGACGCATGGGCAGGGCCAGGTCTGGGATCTTGGGTGCAAGGCCAAGGCCTGGGACAGAACCACAATCTGCTCCCTGCATGCCCCTACCTGCAGAACCGGCACCTGTTGCCAGGACAGGCAAGCAGTGGATTGTTGTCACCACCCTGCAATCCTGCCCCATAATCCTGGCCTCACTCACACATCCTTCTCCCTTACACTGCTCCTTACCCATTTGCAGCTCCATCCCATCTGCCTGGCTGCACTCCCTACCCACAAATGTCCTGCTGCAGTGGTGGGGGCAGATGGGCTGGGGTACCCAGGCAGCGGGGCTGGGTCTGGTGGTGGTGGCAGCAGGAAGAAGCTGCTACTGCAGAGGGTGCCAGGAACGAGTCTGGCCACTATGCCACCCCAACCCCTCTGTTTGCCTGGGTGCAGTGGGTCTGGCCATGGGTGCCATAGCCTGGGTTGTATCTGTGCCTGGGGCAGGGTGGGAATGAGGGACCTGCCTTGGGCCAGATTTGGCCCACAGGCCATATTGTGTCTACCCCTTCCCTAGACCCTGGCCTGGTTGCTAGGCCAGCTGAGATCTCCAGGCTCCCTGGCCCCAGCAGTCTCCAGCTGTGGCGCCTCCACGAGATTGGTCCCTCCTGTGCCCTGATCTCTCTCCTAGGGCAGTTGAGAGCCCTGGGCTCCCTGTCCCTGCTCACCCCTCCTGAGCTATGAGTCTCTGACTTTGCCTACAGGTCCCTGACCCTCCTTGCTCTCATGGCCATTTGGCTGTGGCCCTGCTCTTTGACCTTGGTCCCTATTTTCTGGGTCCTTGCCCTGTTTCTGGGCCAGATGAGACCACCTTATCTCCTCTTGTCTCAATCCCCACACCACCAACTTGCTTACCCTACCTTAGGTGTTTACCAGGAGCCTAGCTGCATCCCTGCTGTTGAGGAGTTTTTCACATCCCAGCTCAGGCTCTAGGCTTCTATCCTGTAAGCCCAGCCCCCTTTTGGGTCATGTGACTCCTGATTGCCCCCCTGCAGTACTTGCAGACTGCTCCATCTGCAGCCTGCCTTCTCAAAGTAGCAGGAACACCAAGCCTCCTGCTAAAACCATTCACTGAAGAAACAAAAGGAAAGTTTTTTCTCCCCTTTCTCCCCTCTTTTAAACTTTAATAAAAAATATCTGAGAGAGAAATGGGACCTGGAAATGGGAAAATGTGCAATACTTTGGATCCACTGAAGTTGATAATGTATTTCCAACAATGACCGATTATCATTTGGCTAGTATGGTACTAGTTTAGAATGCTGAATTATACCTCTGGAAGGTAGTGTGGATTTGGTAATTTCGTTATCATGTAGAACCTAAAGTTTTTATCGTAATCAATGTCAGAATCTCCAAGGCGAATGAGCATTCTTCCACCAGAAACAAAGGTCTGCTTCAAAAGAACAGGCTCCAGAGCAGGGTCCAAGGTTTCCTTGAGCTTTAGGGAGGAAAAAATATTTTTATATTTAACTGGTAACAGAAATACTTCAGTATAAAACAAAATTAAATGAACACTGTCCATTTTACACAAGAAGACTATTCTGTTGTTCTCTTACACTTCTCTGTCTGCTTTTGTTTTGTGGAATGATAAGGTTAGAATTAACCATTCAGATCTTACCAAATATTGTCCACATCACAATTTCTGCATTTTTAACAGTGGACAGTCAATCAGTTTTACTACAGAAAATATGTAAGTGGCTTGACTAGTCAATGGTATAGCAGACCTCAGTGTTAAAGCAAATGAATGTGCATTAAACATATATAAAACATTACCTATCAAGATAAGGAAACATTGTTTACTAACCTGAGAACTGAAAGTATAAAACAAGATTGACCCTACAAAGACTTATGTTCATGTGTTCTTAAGCACCTTTTATTCACACAAATAATCACAATGAAATCAATGTGCTTAAAGTGTTTTCTTGGAGGTTACTCAGAACCTGCAGGAATCAATCCAGTAAAGGGCACATCTTCCCCACTCTCACTGTTCTTTATCATCTGTGTCATGGACCAGGGTGCCCTGATGGTCCTATATCTTTTTAATGGGAACAGTTGAGAAAGGATGGACATAGTTTGGATCCCAGAAACAGCAAAAATAAACCAAATTTTGATATGAATTCAACAGAACTCTTCAGTGTGTGCTTAAATCCATTTCTACTTAGCAAATGATTAAGGACACACACAAATTCTTTGCTGAGTTGTGCACTACATATATATTTAGCCAGCGAACAGATGACCTCTCTCTCTAGATTAAGAGGGTATGTATATACTCATTTGGAGACCTGGGTGTTCTGTTGGATCTGTGGTTAATTCTGGATGATCAGACAGGAATGGCCAAGAGTAATTCTTTTCACGTTCACACGGCAAGGAGTCTCATTTTTTGTTAGGAATGGACCCCCAAGTGATTTATCTACCATATTTACTTGATTCTAAGGTTTCCCCCACCCCATTTAACATAGGAGAAGCCCCTTGTCTTAAAATCGAGTACTGGGGTGGGGAGGGGCAGCTGGCTGCTGTGGCTTGGGCTGCAGCCCCTTACCCAGAGTTGGGGCCATAGCTGCAACTGCTGCCTGCCTCCCCACCCCGCACCCCTGACCTTTGCACACTTCCATCTTCCCTCTGCAGTCTCTTCCCCCCATCTCCCCACCTGCAAGTAGCCTATGCTTCCTACTTGCCCTCTCCCTCCCACCCTTTCCCTTGCTCTGCACCAGCAGGCACTGTCCAGGATGCAGCCAGGAGAACTGAGTATAACTTCAGCCCAGCCCTGTAGCACTGGCATGCAGCCCACACAGCTGCTACAGGGCTGAGCTGGGGCCATGCTCAGTGCCCCAGACTAGAACAGAAATGGAGCCCACTGGCATGGAGCAAGGGTTGAGGTGGGGAAGGGGGAGAGTGGAGAGCAGAGGCTGGGGAGGGAAGGAGGAGGGAAGAGCAGAGGGGGAGGGGGAAGGGGGCAGTGTTGCCAAGCCTGCTTATAATAAATGGAATTGGGCTTATTTTTTTAAAAGTCATTTCAATGTTTTTGAGAGGCTGGGTTGATAATCACCCTCACTCCCCTCTTTTTGAAATCGGCTGTGCTTGTTTTTAAAGGCAATGCAGCTTTTTCTTCTTGTGAGACTTGGTAACACTGGAAGAGGGAAGAAAAGGCTGGGGGGAGGGGAAAGGAATAGAGGAGGATTGGAAACAGTTGCCAGAGGCTGCAGCAGTGGTGGGGCAGGTGGGGGTTGTAGAGGTGGCACAGGGGCAGGCATAAGCAAGTTGCTTGACTCCCTGCAGCAGTGGAAAAATTGAATTAAAGACAACCCTCTAATAATTATAATTTATACATGAGAAATTATAACACATGTATACATTTTCTATGTATAGAATCTAATTATTCAGAGCAGAGGGGGAGGGGGAAGGGGGCAGTGTTGCCAAGCCTGCTTATAATAAATGGAATTGGGCTTATTTTTTTAAAAGTCATTTCAATGTTTTTGAGAGGCTGGGTTGATAATCACCCTCACTCCCCTCTTTTTGAAATCGGCTGTGCTTGTTTTTAAAGGCAATGCAGCTTTTTCTTCTTGTGAGACTTGGTAACACTGGAAGAGGGAAGAAAAGGCTGGGGGGAGGGGAAAGGAATAGAGGAGGATTGGAAACAGTTGCCAGAGGCTGCAGCAGTGGTGGGGCAGGTGGGGGTTGTAGAGGTGGCACAGGGGCAGGCATAAGCAAGTTGCTTGACTCCCTGCAGCAGTGGAAAAATTGAATTAAAGACAACCCTCTAATAATTATAATTTATACATGAGAAATTATAACACATGTATACATTTTCTATGTATAGAATCTAATTATTCAGGGGTCATCTTAAATTCAGGGTCGTCTTACATTGAGTAAATGTGGTATATCCTTGTCACCCTCAGATTCAATCATTAGAATGTGCTCTATTTGGAGCAATGCTGGAAGAACACCAGGAAGTGCTGAAAACAGTTTGAGCTTGTTTGGTTGTTGCTTTGGGCAGATGTTTGGCTGGGGTGATATGACCCCAGCACCCATTCTTCCCGGGGCTGGGGGTTGGACCTGATGATCTGTTTAGGTCCCTTCCGACCTTAAGCACTATGATACTATGATACTATGAATCATTACACCTGTGGTCCAACAATTGCACTTATGCCAGTTTCTTCTAAAATCTGGTAAATACCTTTATAGTTTGGGTACAGTACAACTTAGAAACCATCTATTCCTTTTCTGCAATTACTGATTCATCTTGCTACTCAAATATGAAACTTTGTCTGACTCAATATGAATGAACATGTACGGAGGTTTTAAAGACAGGATTGGGTCACAAGCTGAAAACAGAATTTCTACACACCTGTAAGAATAAAGAAATACCTATTTGTCAGTCAAACCAAAATATTTCAACTGAGGTTTAATTAGTTATATGCATTGCTGCCACTTTAAAAGAAATTGCTGTGTTACACCCATGCTGGGGAGGTATTCTTACTGACAAGGCTAAAGAACTCAGTCACCACTATCATACACAAGGAAAATAATGGCAGACCCTTTTCCATGGCTGGTTTTAGTGGGCAGGAAATAACATCATGTTTCATTTTCAGTCAACTCTAGCATGAAATCTAGGAAATCTGAAGTTTAGAAATTAATTCAGCATTGAATTATTCAAGCATAATACAGTCTTATGTCAAGGGAAAGGACATTTTACTCAACAGTTCTGAATTTAAACTCTCGGAGTTCTAGAAAACCAATCAGTTTGAGAAGGGTTAAATGGAAAGTGCATTATACAACCATTTTCTTCTTCTGATTAACACCTCCACCATACCTTACGTGGTTCTGTCTCATCTGCAGTGGAAAGGCAAGAAACTGAACCCACTGCATAATCACCTCTCCATTTGGACATATTCCCAATAAGGTACTTCCAAATCTGTATAAATATAGGGGTTAATCTCAGTGAAATGCTAACCTCCAATTCACACACATCTGTTTGAATTCTGTAACATGCAACCAGAACAAACATGATGCTTGATTATGGATCAGTTTTCCGTGCCCTACTCAATGCCTTTTTCACCTCAGTCTTCACAGGCAAGGTCAGCTTCCAGGCTACTGCATCTAACAGCACAGTTTGGGAAGGAGGCCCACAGGTACTAAATTTAATGCACATTAGGAAAAGCATATTAATGTACATGTAGACACGCACATTGTTGCTTTCTGACTGACACCAACATAGCAAAAACATGGAAATAGGATAGTAATACAAATTTATGAGTAAAAAGACACAAACCTCTTCTAGAAGAACGGGCAAACCCAAACGAATAGCATTCTCAAGTGTACGCAGGAAACCAGCATCAGTAAGTTTGATTATCTTTAAGCCACTTTTTGCTTCTTTATTTCTTATCCATCGATTTGCCTACATAGGAATGAACAGAACAATCAGTAGAGGTGGCTAAGTGTCACAGATAACTAGCAGGTTAATTAGCTTGTTGGTCTCAGTATTCAAAAGCCCAGTTATTAAAGCCACTGTTTTGGTGAGAAGAAGTGAATTAGTTGCACTTTGCCTGTATACTTGCAAGGCACCACCAGAAAAAAAGGTTTTGCTTATCTTTGTAAAATCTACAGCTTTTATATTGCATAATGGATAGTTAATTGCATTGACACTTTCCTCCAATACACAGGAACAGACTGAGCAAATTAAGACACAAATCTATTCTGAAGCCTACTGGTAAGGAAGAACCATGCTAAGGAGAAGAGCCTATCTTAGTAGGCACCAATTGTCTCTTGGTTCTCAATATGCAACAGGAATGTGTACACTGCCTGGGGCAGCCTAGTCCTCCTGGTACTCAGGGCTAGTGTGGAGAGGAGGAGCTGGCCTCCTGCACCCTCCCCTTAGGTGATTTGTGTATCTAGGCACAGCAGAAAAATCCTCAAACTCATTTCCTCATTCATAAAGGTCCTGGCTAGCCTCCTTTCCCTTTGACATTAACTTCAAACCACATAGAGACACTTGGGAGCTGAGGGTGGAGGAGGATGGTGTGGCAGGGTTGAAGGAAGAAGGGATGCACATCTGTGGGGTATAATCTGACTTCAAAATAATTAATTGCATATAGATTCTGCAATATTTAAAATTTGAATTGTAAAAGACTTTTCATTCTAAATTTGTTAATTGTGCTCACCTGATGCTTCCAATAGCCACAATTTAAGAAAATGGATTGAAGGATGCAGGGAATTATCCTGACAAACTTGTATATTGCTTTGGATAAGCTGAATTGTTGGAATGGTGACTGAATTGGTATTGTCTGCAAAGCACTCACTTGGTCTTGGGGGTCAATCATCAGTGGCCACCGTCGCCCCCTAGTCACAAGAATCCCATTCTCAGTGGACACATAGTCACGTGGTAACCCATCAGTATTCCACTGGCGAATCTCATAGGGATCTCCCAGTATGTTTATGAGGCTGAAGTCAGGACTGATGGGAAGCTCTAGATTCTGACACTTCTTGATCCAACATTCAATCAGCTGAAAGAGAGATTGCAAAACATGGCCTATGGAAGGCTGGGTTACTTAAAGGGATTTGTAACAACAAACTATTGGATATTGGCCAGCAGTGATTGAGGCCATACCTACACTAACTGCACCGTGGAAGTCATTTGTGGATTCTCATGAACATATGCATGTGTTAGACCAGATGCATTACACATTTTTGGCATTAGGGAGTGAGTAGGTAGGATGCATTTTTATGGTGGTAGTCCTTTGCAAGGTCCAATGTGTTCATAGAGTGTTCTTACCACTAAATGGCTGCTTGATGGCCTAGGAGGGGAAAAGTCCATTTCAGAATAGACAGGTGTGACCAACTATGGCTTTTATTGCAATACTTGTTTTAAGTGTGTTCATGTTGTTATAATATTATGTGCCTTATTCTCCTCTGGATAACTTATACAGGGGAAAAGAATGGGTTAAAGAGATGATGAAGCCAGAGTTGCTAATTTACATAACTGAAGATATATCCATCTACATTTTTTAATAGTTTTGCTGATACTTCAAAAAGATGGGGTTTGCAGGTAACACCCAGGCAGGTCCAGAGGAGAGAAAGAAACAAGCATGACAATGATCAGGGCAAGGTGTATAAATAAGTATGGTATCATCTCCTGGCAAAAGAGTCTGAAGACAGACCAGTACAGCAGCTTTGGGTAATTAAGACCTGGACTGGAAAGAAAACAGCTGAGTAACAGATCGTGGGCTGGACTGGGGACAGAAGGACCACTTAACCTTTTGGAGGTGGCAGGGAACCTCTGACTCAGTGGCCATTGCCCCAGTAAACACCTTCATTGAAGAAGACCTGTCTCTTTTGCTGCTCAGAACTCTGGGGTTCACTCGTCCTCCCAACAAGAGATCAAATCCTTCTCTCAGAAGATGAACTGGAAGCTAGCTTCTTCATTTAGGGCCACAGACTGAAAAACCAGGTTCTCAGAGTGAGAAGGATCCAGGGCTCTTCCCCTTCTCTAGAAGCCATGCCTGGGCTGGCTTTGGGAGATACTCTTAGAAGCAATAGTGCTCCCAAACAACCACACCCTGTGGGGGAGCTTGTGAAAACAGGTGTCCTCGCTTGCATTAACAATATGTAATACAGTAATTCTCCTACTTTGCACTCTTTCTGAAGTCTCAGCAAAGAAGCCTATAAGTGAATGCACGTGTGAAAACTGAATTCTGGACAGCAAGGCCAAAGATCATGAACAGAGATGTAGAAGGGACATGTCAGTTGCTTTCACCCATATTGTTCCTGCTCTGTGGACAAAGCAATTAAGTTTACAGTCATGTCAAAAGAAAAGATCAAAAGTATTCTTACTCACCAGTTGCCTGTACTGTGCTGTAAAAGCACCGTAATAGGCAACACAGGCAGCTGCTATGAATACATTCCCTATGATATTTGAAATCTCATCTTCAAAGTTCTTGATGCTCTCCTCCCATCGAACTTCTTCATCTCCCAGTGCAGCTGTAAGCCTTCCCGCTCGAGTGAGGCGAGCTTGGGTAAGTGCCATGGTCCTTGCTGCATGGTTATACAATTACTGAATTGTGATTATCATCTTTAAAAGGTCAAACTTTTTTTTTGCATAAACTGCCACACTTGCTTTCTAGTTTAGTTTCTGTACTCGTAATCTTTCTTTCAGCCTTAACAGTAAGTTACTGAGAAGCGTCCACATTATACCTTTTCTTGACTTATTTCACTTGTGTACCTTTGGATAACCTATGATTCTGGAAGCAAACTCTCTGGCTTCTTCAAATTCCTAATTGCTGTGTTTGCATCATCACCTGCTAAGGAAGTCAGGTTCCTCCAGTAGAAGCTGCCTTGAAGGAATATCCATGAACTGATTAATTGTTCAACTATTGGCATCAGCCAGAACATCTCTGTATTACACAGCTGTGTGGAAATAGAGTGCTAGTAAATCATACATCTTATCCTTTCAGTGAAGCCCTACTGATGTGAAGCCCTACTGCCACTTACTGGGCACAATACATAGTATGAGACCCTCTGACTCAAGACTTCAGTTTTGGCATATCTAGCTAGCTGTATAATTAGGGCAGGGGTGGGCAAAATATGGCCCATGGGCCAGATCCGGCCCATTAAGCACTTTCATCCAGTTCACAGGCACCCACCAACGAATTGTACCCTGCCTACCACTTCCACCCACAAGGGTGGGAGTGAGGCACCAACATATGCACACGCCCTGCAGCATACCCTACTGCATCTCACTCCCACCCTTATGAATGGAAGGACCCGGCCCAGCCAGCAGCAGCTTCCAGGCAGGGCTGCTGCTGCAGCTGCCCCAGGGGGGTCTGTTCGGCAGGTAAGGAAGTGGCAGGGGGGAACTGCAGTTGGGTGGAGGTAGAGAGTGTGGGGCTGGGGCTGACAGCAGCATGGAGCCTGTGTCCAGGGTGGCTATGGGAACACACAGCTCAGCTGGGCAGGGTGTGGGTGTGAGGAAGGGTGGGAAGCTGTGGGGACCAACCCCCACACACTCCCTCACATGATGCATATCCCCTGCTGCTGGCAGCAACTGCAGGCAAGGTGCTTGGGGTGCTCGTGCCTGGCTCAGGCACTGGCGCCTGGTAGTGTGTGGCTCCAGGCAGTGCTATGCGTGGGGGTGAGGAGCACAGCCTCTATTGCGGGGGCTCCGCACAGCGCACCTGCAGCTCCCACACTTGTGTGACACCGGGGGAAGCCCCACGCTGGAGTCAGGTGCTTTCCCCACCCCCTGATGAGCAGGTCCCGGGACTCTGTGGGGAAGCAGGGGGTGGGGCTCCCCTCTGCTTCTGGCAGAGCCCCAGGACCTGCACGGTAGGGAAAAGCAGCCAGCTCCAGTGCAGAGCTTCCCCCAGTGCTGTGTGAGTGCAGGAGCTGCATGCACACCACGTGGAGCCCTCACAATAGAGGCAGGCTGGGAAGGCTACGCTCCTTGCTCCCACATGCAGTGCTGGCCACAGCCATGTGCTGCCAGGTGTCCATGCCTGCACCAAGCATAAGTGCTCCCACCTGCTGCTGCTGGCAGTGGGGGCTGCATGACATGTGGGGAGTCCCCACAACCCCCCATCCTCCCTCACCCCACAAACCACACACTCACACCCTGCCCCCGC